TTTTCCAATGATTGTTTTGAAAAATAAAGCATAAAAGCAGAGTTAAAGCTATAAATGTTTTTGGACATGTATAAGTAATAAATCTCATGTTTTTAAACACAGTTGAAACAAGAATTATTACTTTAACAATATGATTACTATATTAAAATGTGCCTAGCTTCCTCCATCCATTCAACAGTGAGAAAGTTCCTCTAACAGGAGCAACTCTCTGCTACACTGAACACAGATCACTGATAGATTGAAGACTTAACAGGATGAGACTTGAACCAGGACCCAAACCCAAACCCAGGATAAAGAGGTTCAGTGAATGTGGTGTTAAAGGTGTAGAGGTGGATCAGTGAGTCAGAAGAGACTCTGTAGAAGGACAGGATGCCAGCAGGACAGTCCACATAAACTGCTACTCTGTCAGAGAAAGAGGAGGAGAAGACGGATGTTCCTGTCTTATTGTACCAGACATAGTAACTACTACCAGAGCTGTACAGACTCCAGGACCTGTTGTTCATTCCAAACCTGCTGTCATCTCTGTCTCCTTTCCTTTTGATTCCTCTGTAACTCACTGATATGTAACACCCTCCTACACATTCAACTTCCCAGTAACAGCGCCCAGTAAAACCATTTTTACACAGCAGCTGAAGCCAGCAGTCAAATCTGTCTGGATGATCAGGATATGACTGATCCTCCCTCACAAGTATCACCTTCCTCTTGTTGTCAGACAGTTTGATTTCTCTGTTCATTGTGTTTGTATCGAGTGTGAGTTCACAGGAATCTGATGGAGAGAACAAGACACCAAACAGCTGCAGTTATTGATCTATCATCTGACATGACTCAGGACATCAGTGATCTGAATGAGTGTTTTCATGAATCAAATTAAAAACACACTTACACTTCTTCAGACCTGGTCTCAACCACTGGACTCCACCAGGCTCAAGACTGAAAGGGGCGGGGGGGGGGCACAAGCTTTCAGTCTCTTTCTGAGCAGCACAAACAAATGTCACAGCAAATAAGATGAGGCCACAAAGTCCTTAATGAAAACTACAGTGGCTGTGGGTTCATTAGACCTCCTCTGGACACAGGACCACATCTGAACCTCAGATTTTTTTTAGTATTAAAGTGAAAGTGACTTGATGGCATGATGTGATTTAACTCTCTTATGTCCTCTTATATCCTTGGTTCAAGATACTGGGAGATTAGTGTCATCAGTGTGATTAATGTGTTAACCCTGAACAGTTATCTTAAGTCTGTGGGTTTGTTGTGAAAGCACTCTGCACGCTCAAAGTCACTATATCTGTTCAGGAGCAGTCAAACCAGCTGCAGCTGCTGACATAGCCTGAAATAAGTCATTTGTAAACATTTATAGTGAGAATAAAGCTGAAATTCCTGCTCAGGTCCCAGATTAAAGCTGATTTCGTAATTGTGATCTGTTCTCGTAAATGTGACAGTGAATGCAACGCACTTCTGTAGAGATCGGTCATCAGCTGAGACAGAGAAACTGTGTCCAGTGTCTCTCCATACCTGAGAGTGTCAAGGCTCCAGTCTGGATCCTCCAGTCCAGCAGACAGTAGCTTCACTCCTGAGTCTCCTGCATGATTGTAGCTCAGGTCCAGCTCTCTCAGATGGGAGGGGTTTGAGCTCAGAGCTGAGGCCAGAGAAGCACAGCCTTCCTCGGTGACCAGACAGCCTGACAGACTAAACACACACAACACACAGAAACCCCCTATGAACATTTGATAGTAGCTTATTTCCTTATTTTTGGCTCTGGTCCATTTTGGTCCAGGTACATTTGCATTTGTTCAATCGTTTAATTCAAAAACTAAAGCCAAAAATATGTAATCATATGTCTAGAAAGCACTGCTGAAGTTTATTAAAATGTACTTTACACTATCCCACACAGGTTGACTGTATCCACTTACGGAAATAAGGTTTCATTGGTTTACCCATTAATCACAGGGTTGGTGGTTTGATCCCCACCCCTGCCCACATGAATTGCCCTTGGGCAAAAACCTGAACATCAAATTTCCCTGATGGCCAGATGAGCACCTTGTATGGTAGCTCGCTGCCATCTGTGTGTGAATGGGTGAATGAGAGCCAATGTGTAAAGTGCCTTGGATAAAATATAAAATGCAGCCATTTACCATTTTTTAGTTTTAGTCAGTGAAGTTTTAGTCATGCAAGTCTGAGCATTTTGAGGCGCCAGATGTTTCCATCTATCCTGTCTACAATCACCATGGTTACAGCCGTTTCCATCTTTGTTGTGTACAGTTACCACGGTTACCACAGTTACCACATCTTTACTGAGAGGCTGTTTAACCTCTATGATACTCTTTAATATCAGCATTGTTGAACTTGAGGAATATGTCCACTCATTTAAAACACACAGTAACTCGATCTGACCTGAGAGCCTCCAGTGTACAGTGTGGACTCTGCAGTCCAGCAGACAATAGCTTCACTCCTGAGTCCTGCAGGTTGTTGTTACTCAGGTCCAGCTCTTTCAGACTAGGTGACTGGGAGCTGAGAAGTGAGGACAGAGCTTCACAGCTTCTCTCTGAGAGGTTACAGCCACTTAGTCTGAAGAGATGATAATAAAGAATGAAAGTTTTTTATTTTCTGTTCTGTTGAAAAGATATTGGTGTGTTTATATGATGATCCATAAATTAAACTATCTGTACACTTACACAGCTTTGTTAGAGGCTTTGACCACTGGCAGCAGCCTCAGAAGAGCCTCCTCTGAACCAGAGTATTTCTTCAGGTCAAACACCTCCAGATCTTTTTCTGATGACAGTAAGATGAAGACCAGAGCTGACCATTGAGCAGGAGACAGTTTATCTGTAGACAGACTTCCTGAACTCAGGGACTGTTGGATCTGCTCCACTAGAGACTGATCATTCAGTTCATTCAGACAGTGGAACAGGTTGATGCTTTGCTCTGGAGAGGGAGTCTCTTCAATTATCTGCTTGATGTACTGGACTGTTTCCTGATTGGTCTGTAAGTGACTTCCTGTCTGTGACATCAGGCCTCGTTGGAGATTCTGATTGGTCTGCAGTGAAAGACCCAGGAGGAAGCGTAGGAACAAGTCTAGGTGTCCATTTGGACTCTGTAAGGCCTCGTCCACAGCTCTCTGGTAGAAGTGGGTCTGTGTACATTCAACCTTTCCTTTAGACTTTTTGGAGGTAGATTGTTCGTCTGACATCATCAGATTGACTCCAGAGTTGATGAAGGTCAGATGGACATGAAGAGCAGCCAGAAACTCCTGAACACTCAGGTGGACGAAGCAGAACACCTTGTCCTGGTACAGGCCTCTCTCCTCTTTAAAGATCTGTGTGAACACTCCTGAGTACACTGAGGCTGCTCTGATATCGATGC